AAAAAAAAATCAAATTTTCTCTTCATTAAGTTTGTCTTTTAATTGCATTGAGAGCTGCAGATACATTGTAGTGCAGTAATGTTGCTGTACTGGCGACGGCTGCATATCATTTATGATCATGCATCCACTAAAGTGCGCTCTGCAATCTTCAGTTTGCAGACTCGGCGATCGAAGTGCAGTTTGGGCTACAAATACTCAGCATACCTCCATATGCATTCATGCATTTTACGGACTTGTTTATTTAATTTAGCTGTGCCTCATACCAGGCAGGGAAAATTGTAAAATCTTACCAAGCTTCTATCATTTCTAGCTAACTGATTTGAGAGTGCTTTGTAAATTTTAAGCCTCGTGTTGTTGAAATCTGCTTTTCTCAGCGCACTCCTGAAGGACTGCCATTATAGTATTAAATAATCCAAGTACATCCATGGAGGATGTAGGTGACCTCAGCATTGACAAGTTGCTGCTTCCCGCTCTCTCTGGTTCCACATTTGCCTCAAATTGCTCTCACTGGGTTGCTTTAGTCTCAGGGGTTTGTGGCTCTTCAGTCTGTAAGCTAAAGTCAGAAAGATAGCATCCACGTTTTCCTTTTCAGATGGGTCCTTGGCTGAAGTCTCAAACAGTGGGAAGTTGTAGCTGTCAGCGAGACACTGTGCGGCTGATGTGGGAACCTCCCGGCGGTCCCTCAGGTCACACTTGTTTCCTACCATGATGCGGGGCACAAGGGGCCCCACGGAGTGCCGGCTACACTCCTGAATCCACTCAGGGATGCTCTCGAAGGAAGAAAGGCTGGTCACGTCGTACACAAAGATGACAGCGTGGACGCTGCGGTAGTAGTGCTCCACCATGCTCTTCCTGAAGCGCTCCTGACCTGCTGTGTCCCAAATCTGTAACTAGCACAGCAGAAAAAAATGATGCCACAGAGTCCTATTTAAAGCATATGGCCAGTGTTATTTTATATTTGTGCTTTTGCCAGCCAGTTCAATAGGAGGCAGCAAAGCGTCATTCCAGCTTCCCTATTTTGTTTATGCTGCTCAGCTCCAACCTTCAACGTTTGTTCTTACTACATATGCTTTATGTGTGT